ATGGAGGCAGAGCTACGAGCCTTTGAAGAAGAAAGCCAAATGGGTGAAGAACAGATACAGACATTATTGGCAGAGGAAGGGGAGGAGGAAAGACAAAAAGCTGAAGAGAGGCCGAGAGAGATGGAAGAACAGCTGAACGGGGATGAAGAACTAGCGAGAAAGCTAAGCAGTAATACTAATGACCGGGACAGAAATGTCTTGCCTCCTTCGAGTTCAGGAAAATTGGGAACAGTTACAGACAAGTCTCAAACGAAAAGTGAGAAGAAACTCAGCGACGCTGGAGATACTCCGAAGTATGTGTCAGCTACGTTTCAGTTTGCGTCAACATCACAGTCTGAAGTTGTACAAGAAAGCAGGGAAATCTCCGCGTCCGAGGAAACTGACAGCATTGTCCTTAAAAGCCCTATGTGGCAAGATATAGAAATTGACGAAGATGTGCCAACATGTTTTCTTCAAACAGGCCTGGACGCTGAAGATCAGGGTGCACAGTCTTCAGCAGAGCCACCCGTGCCTCAGTTAGATGTCACTGGTAGAGAATCGTGCTTGAAACGAAACATGAAAACGACAGGAGGCAATCGCGATGAAGAGGTTCCTGCCCTAAATCACCAGGGACCGGAAGCCGGCGCTCCCTGCTTTGGAGAAACAGAGAGTGCGTGTACTCCTCGAGGTGGGACACACCTTGAGATCCCTAAAAAGGTCATGAGTGAGACAGAAAATGAAGACGCTTGGCTGCTGACCAGTAACGTTATTGCCAAAGGAACAACCCAGGAAGCTTCTTTTGAGGCAGTCCCGGATCCGTGCATTTCTCCAAAAAGAAGGAAAGTGTTCCCCAAAGCTTCCACAGTGCAAGACAAATCAGAAATCAACGTTACCCAGAATCTGATAGACACAGAACACTCTCTTCTTGACAGAAATAAACAGGAAGAGCTAGACTGGTTGTTCGCCGTGAAGCTTCAGAAAAAATTCATCAAAGAACAGACGACGCCAGACCGGCAAAAAGGATCCCCGGATGCGTATCAGTTACGTGGTACCTCTTCGCTGTACCACTGCCCATTGCTAAGTGGGCTGAAGAAACATTCCAAAGACTGTAGCTTCAAGAGCCAAACTGATAGAGAGCAACCAAAATCTCCAAGAGGCCCAGAAAATGAAAAGTAACAGCCTTCTTTCCAGGTCCAGTTGAAGCATTCAGTTAATGTTAACAGGAGAAAAAATGCCAAGTGCCTCTTGAGATCATAGTAATGTATCTAAAAGTGTCCATTCCCTATGCAGAAAAATATTAGGTGTTTCAAAGGTATGGAAAATAATTTGTGGATAAAGGGAATGTTTTATAATCTAGTAAAGCTGGAATTGTGATGATTTCTGTCATAGACTCTTTGTGATTTTTTTCATTAATTCTGCTCTGTGGTCACTCTCACTGTCCTTAATTAAAGGCCTGTGTGATTACGGGGGAGGAATACATAAATGCGTAACCACGAGTTTCAGCCCTTCCCTTTTTAATAACTGTGATGTACTAATAAGTTTGACCATCCTTAGGAATTTGAAAATGCTTTGGCGAACTCCAGAGAAATCTTCAGGTGCCATTTTCTTTCCAAAAAAGTCATGCCTTTTGGCCTTTGCTTCCTTCCCTTTTTGTCCTAGCTAGTGATCAAAGCAAGCTTATGATACTATACCAAGTAGTTAGGAATTCAGGCAGGGTCAGTTTTCCTGCCGCTTTCCCAGGTATTTGCCGAGCACTTGAAGTGCATCTTCCATAACGCTAACGGAATCTCGTTTTCAGTTCCACTTTAATTATTTTAAGCATTATCGCAATTTTTCCATTGAATATGGTTTATGACAATAAATTTCTAGAAATTACAAGGTTCTGTTTAAAATTGCAGATCATTCATTTGCTTGTAATTTATTTTGCAGTTAAGTAGAGATCAACTTCTTTTTCCCTATTAGTGTTTCCTCAACATTATTTATTAGAGTATCTTGTTTCTTTGTTGGTTCAGTTTACATTAACATCTTGAGTTCTGAAATACACATTTCCACTAGTATTTTTACTTTGTCTTTTGGTTTGTCTCTTCCCATAATAGTACCACTGAGTTCAACTGCTCTACTTAAGAACACACTCTGGTATCCGACTAGGCAAGTCTTGCTTTCAAAATATTTATTTATTCTCACTTTCTTATTGACCTAAGTGAGCATGTTGCAAAATTTGTGGTAAAAAAATTCCTGGCTTCTTGATGTTAGACTTGATTTAGAAAATACTTTGGAGAGAGTTGGCAACTTTAAGATACTCAGTCTTTGTAAGCAACACCATAGTGTGTCTTTTCAACTTATTTAAGTGTTCTTTATTTGCTGTAGTTGAGTTTTATCGTTTTCTGCTCATGGATCCTGCTCATTTTATCTAATTTGCTCTTAGATACTTTATATTTTCTTGTTTAAACCTGAAGAGAATAGATTTTTCATTTTACGTTCCGACTCGTTTTTTTTTGCCATGCTTGTAGTTTATATACTTATTACGTAACTCAGTCTCTTATCGCTCTTTTAATAATTTAAATATATTTCATTTAATTTTTGTTGTACTTCTGAGACTGTTAGTACTACCTTTTTCAAAAAATGCTTTTGTCTCTTCTTTTTCTGGATTTATAATCTGTATCTGGTCATATAACTTAAGTAGTATTAAATAAAGGTAATGAGAATGATCCTATTTCACATATTTTTGACTCTAGAGGGAAAACGTTGATTGCTTTTCCCTTTAGCATAAAAATATATATGAAAGGTACATGACAAAGTATATAAAATGTATAGGTAAATATAAATAAATATATATATCAGTGAGAAATCGATAAGCCATCATGTTTATAACATTTTGTGGTTTTTTGTTTTTTTATTTTTTAATGTTTTATTTATTTCTGAGAGAGAGAGAGACAGCGTGAGCAGGGGAGGGTCAGAGAGAGAGGGGAAGAGACAGAATCGGAAGCAGGCTCCAGGCTCTGAGCTGTCAGCACAGAGCCCGATGTGGGGCTCGAACCCAAGAACCGTGACAGCATGACCTGTGCCGGAGTCGGACGCTTAACCGACTGAGCCGCCCAGGTGACCCTATAACACTTTGGCCTTCTGAATTTTCAAAACATGAATGGGAATTTCATCACTTGCCTCTTAAACCTCCAACTGAATAATGATAATTTTTCTATGGTATAATGACATGATCCATAGCCTTTCTAATACTGAACCATATGACATTATTTTAAGAAAGCATATCACGTGTGACTGTGTTTGTTAACATGTTGCTGGATTCAGTTTGCAAGTACCCTTTTAGGATTTCTTCAGCTATATTAATTAAGGCCATTAATTATTTTGTTCTTGTTTGTCAGGTCTTCTATTTTTTAAGTTTTTATTTCAGTTCCAGTACAGTTACCATACAGTGTTATGTTTGTTTCAGTTGTACGATACAGTGATTCAACCATTCCACACATCACCCAGTGCTCATTATAAGTGCCCTCCTTAATCCCCCTCACCTATTTAACCCATCCTGCCACCTCCCACCCCTCTAGTAACCATCAGTTCTCTATAATTAAGAGTTTTCTGGGGTGCCTGGGTGGCTCATTCGGTTAAGCATCCGACTTCAGCTCAGGTCATGATCTCACGGTTCGTGGGTTTGAGCCCTGCATTGGGCTCTGTGCTGACAGCTCAGAGCCTGGAGCCTGCTTCAGATTCTGTGTGTGTGTCTCTCTCTCTCTGCCCCTCCCCTGCTCGTGCTCTGTCTCTCTCTGTCTCTCAAAAATAAATAGACATTGAAAAATAGAGTTTGTTTCTTGGTTTGTCTCAGTCTCTCTTTTTTTTTTTTCCTTTGCTCCTTTGTTTTGTCTCTTAAATTCCACATGAGTGAAATCATATGGTATTTGTCTTTCTTTGATTGACTTATTTTGCTTAGGATTATACTCTGTAGCTCCAACCATGTCATTGCAAATAGCAAACTTTCATTCTTTTTTTCCTCCATTCTTACGACTGAATAATATTCCATTGATATTATATATACCATATTCCATGATATTATATATATAATACCATATATATATATATACCATATATATATACACACACCATATATATATATATGTATACACACCGTTTCTTCTTTATCCATTCATTAAGTGATGGTCACTCAGGCTGCTTCCATATCTTAGCTATTGTAAATAATGCTGCTATAAACATAGGGGTGCATGTATCCCTTTGAATTAGTGTTCTAGTATTCTTTGGTAAACACCCAGTAGCATGATTGCTCTATCCTCAAGTTGTTCTATTTTTAACTTTTTGAAGAACCTCCATACTGTCTTCCACAGTGGCTGCAACAGTTTGCATTCCCACCAACAGTGCATGAGTGTTCTTTTCTTTCTTTCTGGTGCAAGGTGATACCTCATTGTAGTTTTGATTTGCATTTCCCTGATGATGAGTGATGATGAGTATCTTTTTGTGTGTCTGTTGGCCATCGTTCACTCTGATCAGCTGGGACTTATTCCTGGGTTGCAAGGGCAGTTCAGTATTCACAATTCAATCATTGTGATATATCACATCAGTCAGAGAAAGGATAAGAACCGTTGGTTCATTTCAATAAATGCAGAAAAATCTTTTGACATAGTACAATATCCTTACAATTAAAAAAAAAAAAGAACCTCTGATAGTAGAGTTGGGGAAAAACAACAGTGCACGAGCAAATCAGTCTTGTCTCTTTTAAGCTAACTGATGTAATTCACACATTGTGTTCTCATCCAGGCCAATCATTTTACCGGCATAGGAATCCGCATCATTGGTATCACAATGGTCTGCACAGCCTGCTTGGGTGTGTAAATCAGTCTAACATTGGTATTGCATATAATTACTGTGCATCCACGCAAGTGGATTCAGTTTCTCTTTCAAAGCAGAGGCTCCTCCAAGGACTCAGGTGCAGGCAACGTATTTGGGAATGGGCTCCAGGAACAGGAGTGAAAGACTGAGAATAATGGGAGAGTGAACAAAGAAAAATCAGTAAGAAATGTGGAATTGAACTGGTGAAGTGATGTGCTCAGTCTCTGTGGTGGCCCTCTGAGAAACTGTGGGAGTATATTTAGAATTGTCCCTCCAGCATTTATCCACCAATTCCTATCTTAGTTCATTGAGGGTTTACCCCTAGGAACACTCTCACCTCCTGACTGCTCTCCTGGATTGCTGAGTGAGTAAGTAGGCTTTGCAGAAACTGTGGGTGATTGAGGTAGGTAGGATGTGAAAATACAAAGGGCACTTGAAAGAGGCGCAGCTGAAGTTGGAGGCAAAGAGGTTTCGCCTGGGGCACCAAAACCCTCTGTTAGAACCACCGTTTTTGGGGCACCTGTGTGGCTCAGTCAGTTAAGTGTCCGACTTCGGCTCAGGTCATGATCTCGTGGTTCGTGGGTTTGAGCCCCACGTCGGGCTCTGTGCTGACGGCTAGCTCAAAGCCTGGAGCCTGTTTCAGATTCTGTATCTCCCTCTCTGTCTGACCCTCCCCTGCTCACGCTGTCTGTCTGTCTGTCTCTCTCTCAGAAATAAATAAATAAACATTAAAAATTTTTCCAAAAAAAGAAAAAAAAAAGAACCGCCTTCTTTACATCAGACTTAAAAATAAAGATCATATTTTGGTCTCCATATACCTCATTCCTCCTTATCTGTTTTTTTTAAGTGTTTATTTCTTTTCTGAGGGAGCTTGCAAGCATGAACCTGAGTCGGGGAGGGACACAGAGAGACGGAGACAGAGGATCCAAAGTAGGCTTCACACTGACAGCAGAGAGCCTGACCTGAGCAGAAACCAAGAGTTGGGTGCTTAACTGACTAAGCCACGCAGGTACCCCTTCCTTGTCTATTTTTGAATAGATTTAGAAATGCAAATGGGTGAGTAGTGTTATTGTTGTTATTTGATTTGGAATTCTTAAAATTCTAATAGTAGCAACCCAAGATTCCTTTTTTTTTTTTTAATTTTAAGCATTTATTTATTATTGAGAAACAGAGACAGAGCAAGAGCATGAGAGGGGCAGAGAGTGGGGGAGACACAGAATCCAAAGCAGGCTCCAGGATCTGAGCTGTCAGGACACAGCCCAACGCGGGGCTCGAAGTCACAAACTGCAAGATCATCACCTCAGCCAAAGTCAGATGCTTAACTGACTGAGCCACCCAGGCGCCCCAACCCAAGATTTATTTCTAACTGTTATAGACCTTGTAAGTGAACTAAATTTTAAAGTATTTTATACCTCCAGCACTACAAAAATAAATATATATTAAGTTAATGATTCCAGCATTATTTGTGATTGTAAAATATTGGAAACAGTTAAAATTCCCATCCACAGGAGATGACTGAACAAACTTTATAGTACAT